TTGAGTTTATGCGAAATGGTATGCAATTCAATAAGCACTCTGATAATTGTAACTATAGCTTTGCGTTCCAGTTCTTTCTCCTTTAACAATGTCACACACGTTGTAAAATGAGTTTCACTAATAACTATGTCTTGCAATTCTGTATCAGAGTATACCAGACCCATATTAAAATAAGTTATCGCAAGGGCTACAATGTCATCAAACTTTCTATCTTTCTCTTCTGCCTCTAAAGTAATTATATTTTCAAACAACATTTTTATTTTACTTTCTGTAGCATCAATCAGGTCTTTTGTTTCTAAAAGCGCAGTTGCACGTTGAATTTTTAATTGAAATGATATATTTAGAACTTCGAGAAATTCCTTACTAACGTTCACACTTTCAACGTTTTCTGTTGACGTCGTTTCTCCAATAGACACTAAAAAAAGTCAATATTCTAAGTTTCTTATGCATATTATATTATGTCGTTTTGAATAATTTATTTCTACTTACCAGATTGAGAAGATTTGCATATTTGGTCAATCCGTTGACGGAAGTACAACTTTATAATCGAATCCATTATTGCTTGATATCATTGTAACAATTTCTTAGTAAGATCCACTCATAAAACTGTTGTCATGTAGGATAAGGCGACGTATGTGCTTTAGTCGTCTGAGAAGGATTTTCAAAACATATTAAGGTCAATGAAATACATGGTTATATACATACGTATATATGTATATTTAAGCTATGCCAATATAAGATAACTGAATCAAATATTTCGTATATTGTTGTTTTAAAGAATAATGAATTAAACAATAAGAACATATTTATTTAAATATTGATAATAACTAGTTCGATCAAAAGGATTAAATAAATTAATTAAGAAGGACATCACATGTCTTATTGAAATGCTATTGCAACAGTTTTATTTTATTATGCTTCAAATTGAATATACATAAATTGGTGGTATAAAATATACAAATTTTGTTCTAAGTATTACTAAAATAGTTTATAGAAATAGTTTTACAAATTTTTATATATTTTTAAATATTTTTCCATTTATATTTCCCAAAATATTATTTATTTTCATATTTATATTATACAGTAGTTGTAACAAATTCTTCATGCAAAAATTTTATGTTTATAAGCATAAATATTTGAGAAATAGGAAATCTTCTATGTTTCCTATTATTTCCGTGTAATATAAAAATGCATAAAAATAATATTTTTTTTCTACAGTGTCATAAGGAAAATTATAATATATAACTATGGAAAAGTATATAAAATATATAAGCCTTAAAAATAGTTCTAATGAATCTAAACTTATTAAAAAAATTGTTATAATACTAATGTCTAAAACTTTTTATTAAAATGTTCTTAATACTCTTTTTTTATAAAAATCAGTTTATTGTAAGCATCTGTTAATTCCATATAAATATGAAGCATATTTTCTTCATTAGGCGATGTATGCGAAGTATTACTATACATTTTTATTTGCTGTAAAGAGTTTTCTAAAACATCTATTCGGCGTGTAGTCAGTTTCATTTTCCTATCTTTGCTTTGATAAAAATCTGTTAAATATTGGTATGCCATAGAAGTTAGTAGTGCTTTTTCAAAAAAAAAATACAAATTTTCTGCAGAAAATTCAAAATATTTTTCTGCTATATCCAATTGTTCCAAAACATTCACAAATATTTTTTTGGCATCATTCAAATAGAATACATATTTATCTGTAAACTGAGCAGTCACATTTTTTAAGTCCTTTTCTAAATCAGTAAATATTAATAATTTTAAATCCTTTTCTGACTCTATGAATGATTCTGATTTTGAATCATCTGTCTCCCATGATATGTTACCTTCTTTTCTCGGTAATAATCTCTCTTCAGATTTATGTAAAAGCTGAACCCCATAGGCTGCCCAGCATCTAGAAATATAACCACGTACAATTTCATACAATTTACATAAATTAATATGTAATATAGGATTCTCTTGATTCTTTGTCCGTGCATTAATTTGGAATATATTTGTCATGTATTCTGCAGCAGCAATATGATTTCTAGCTTCAGTGAACAGATAATTATGCAAGAAATAACAAGATAATTCAAGTGAAGTGATAGCCCAAAAAATAATATTTTCATTTGAAGACATTGTTTCTTTTATTCTTTTACTTAATATGTCATGAATACATACTACAAATCTTCTATACTTTTCGGAATAGTCCAAATAAAGATATGATAAGTTCTTTAAAATATTTAAATGAAGTTGTTCTAATAAAACTTTAGGATTTTGTACTTCTTCAAAGTTTACACCAAGAATAACTGTCAAATCTATGGGATCAGGATATTCAATTTCTCCCTTTGTATATTCCGAATACAGCTCCATTGCTGTATTTAAAACTGAATAACTTTTCTCTGATTGTTCGCGTTTATATGAAATCTCATATAATTCATCAAGTACTCTGATAGTTATCACTATAGCTTTGCGTTCCAATTCCTTTTCCTTTAACAATTTTAGACATCTCTTATAATAGACTTCAGCAATAGATAAAGAGTAAAGTTTTTCCGATTTCGGGTCTTCAGTGTATATTGTACCCATATAATAATTAGCTATTGCCAGGACAACAATGTTATCAAATTTTGTGTTTTTTGAAGTAGTTACATCTTTAAACAAACGGTCTATTCTGATTTTTATGGTATGGATCAATTTATTCTTTTTTGAAAATTCATTTGTTTGTTGTTTTTTTAGTTCAAATAATGATTTTATAACTTTGAGAAATTTCTTATCAACATCAACATCTTTAATGCTCTCTGCTGAAGTCACTTCTTTATTGGACACTAAATAAGTTAATATTAAAAGATTATCATAAATAGTATAAATTTTGTTCTAAAACAATTATTTTTATTTACCAGATTGAGAGGATATTTGTTCAATCCGTTGTTCAGTATATTTATCCAGGAAGTAGTCCATTCTTGGTTGATATCGAGCAAGCAAATTCCTTGTATCAACTCGTAAAATGTGATTATACACAGAAAGTTTAAACGTATCGCTCTTTGTCAACTATAAGTGTTTTTCAGCAAGGAAACTTAACCGATTAAACTTTTTCTCATAATCAGATCTTACGTCTAACAAGGTAGTTTTCCACCAAGAGACACAAGCGACACAAAAGTATTATTCTCTCTGTTGCTCATTGAATATCGAACAAAGACAGAATGATACTTGTGTCGATTTGTGTCAACTTGTGTCCTTTGCTGGAAAACAACCCAAATTCTTTTAAGTGTGTTTTACATTTATAGGTGTAGCTGCCTATGACACTTATAGAAGTGTATGGAAATCTGCCTTTTATTTATATAGTGTAGCAAGATTGCATTATCGATAAAATGTTTAATTATCTATATACGATATGTTAGATTGCACTACTATTTTTTTACCGATGGCATTTAGCTATCAAGTTTGTGTCTTTCACGAAATAGGCGCTTCGTTAGCGACAATGCCGATGCTTGATTTTGTGTGCCGTTGTCGGTTTTTGCAGTTTTGACATGATAAATATTTAATTTCTGTATGTAGAGATTTTCACATACGTAGCCGCCTGATGCTCGTTTTCAACAATGCAAATACAAAGCGAGATATATTTTGAGAAGATAGTTTTTTGTATATATTGAGAGAAACCTAGGTTAGAATTGACAGTTGTATATATTTTCAGTACATTACAGTGGGTTTAGGCAATTTTAAAAACTGGTATTTATTATGACATAAACATTATATTTATTTGAGAAAAATCTTGATTTCTCGCATTTATTATTTATAATTTTGCATTTCGTTTTTATAGGTATTCATAGATAGACAAGATATTAATTATGGACCGTGGCAAGACTGGGCTTGGTAGAGCAGTTAAAAGTAAAATTGCTCAACATCCTTCTGACTTATTTGCATTAGGATCTAAGAGCTCACGGAATGAAAGTTCTGATTCCAAAAACAGGCCAGGTGTTATTCATCCAAAACCAGGTGGTAGTTCTGCAACTTCTGGTAAATAGTTTGCTTTTCTTTTATATTGACAATTTTTGATTATGCTGTCTCACAATATTAATCATGCAATTTAATATATTAATTATCATAATTTTATAGGTAATGATCGGAAAAAGGAAGCACCTTCTGGATCTCTTCAATCATTTTCATATGTTCCACAGAAGAAGCCTAAGTTAAGTCATATCGGTTCTTATCAAAGACAACCTTCTTCGAGCGCAGAAGCATGGGAAGTTTTAGCTACAGACACTGATCCTGCAGACTTTGTACCTATGGTACTTGAAGCTAACGACAATGATGAAGCTGACAAAGTTATTGGGATAATATGCGGTGCAATCAAGACATTAAAGAATCAGAAATGGAAACCTGATACATTAGTTTACATGGGCTTATTGTATCTGGCAAAGATTCGCCCATCTATTTTTTCACATGATTGTATATTACATGCACTGTCCTCCCTTTTAAAAAGAGATCAAACTTATAATTTCAAGAGTAAAGGGAATCCATTGGTTCCTGTACTCGCTGCAAATCTTTTAATGAAAGGATTCCATGAGAAAAAGAATTGGCCGGAAATATTTGTGAAGGTTATTCATTTTTACTATATTATACTATATTATTTATACTATATTGTACTATATTATTTATACTTATACTATATTACTATATTATACTATATTATTTATATTATTTATTGTACAAAATTCAATATTTTTACTATTATATTTATAGTTGTATATCGAAGATGCTCTTGGTGAACGTGTATGGGTTGATCATGAAGAATGCAAGGGCTTTGTTGACAACATTTTAACTGGTTTTAATACAAGACATCCCCCTAAGTCTGTATTACAGCCGGAATTTCCTGTGTTAATGCAGCGGGATTGTCATAGCCCATCTACAGTGGATGATGAAGATCCGACAGCATCAACGACATTGTTATCTGGAGATAAGGAAAAAATAGAGTTTCCAGTAGGTCCGAGATACGCACATTGCATGGAGAATATTGAATCAATAGTGTTGGAAGCTGTGAAGGAGCAATTGAACAGACGTCAAGCTGAGACCATAACGAGAAATTTCTTAAAGCTGCTCTCCTCGGCATGCGGATTTGTGGAAATTAGAAACATCGCTGTCCCCAGGCTAGAAGTATGGTTGCACAATCCTAAACTGATGAGACCCGCGCAGGAACTGCTCATGTACATTTGTTACAATTGCACGTCTCACACTCAAAGAGACGTCGAGGTCATAAGCCAACTGGTGAAAATGAGATTGAAACCGAAAGCTGTAATTAATATGTACCTGAACGGCGTTAAGGAACTTATTGGATTACATCCGGAGAATTTAGCGACCATATTAAAGCACACGATTTACAACGAATTGTCGAACGCGCGCAATCCAAATAACATGCCCATGCTGGCTATAATGTTCCAGACGTTACCCGAGCAAGCGGCCAAGTTGCTCGCGGAGATCTTTCAGGATTTACTGATGAATCGCGAGGATTACTTGAGGCCATTGCGCGCATTGCTCAGAGAAATCGTGCGCGTATGTCGGCATGATATCAACCTCCTAGCTTTCGCTCGCATGCTTATGTCCGAGAGGCCAGACATAGCTCAACAATTGTTGACTTTTGAATTCAAAGATCGCATGTTTATGTCAATAGCGGACCTCTTGTGTCTGTGTATGCTTCTCGGAATAAGTCCGCAGGTGAAAGAGGCGGCGACATTGTCACAACGTGCAGACAAGAAGGACGTAGCTTTGCTACATCAGTTCCAAAATCTTGTGGCCATGATACAGTACGAAGCGATACTCTGGTTGCAGAATGTAGCGCCACAGATGTACGCCATCGGACGAAATGAGCTGCTGCACGCAATGCACAAGATCTTGCTGTTAGAATCTCCTGAAAATTATTACAAACTGGATAATTGGCCACCGGAATCAGACAGAGGATTTTACATACGATTGGTATCCGACGTTCCTCTGCTGCAAAGTTCGTTGTTGAGACTATTACTGATTGGTTTTGCAAAAGTAAGTATTTGAATTCATTATGTATAAAAATGACTCTAACAATTTTCTTTATGTTATTTTTGTCCGTAGGATAACAGCATTACTCACTCGGAGACGTTGGATTTAGCCGATCAACTGATACGGCGCGCCGCTGCTAATTCGACGGAAAATTTTCCTATGTTGCAAGCAGACAAAACGGACATAGTTGAACTTATTTTCAATCTTTGCATTTATCAGCCACCGGGAACAATAAACATACCCGCTGGGTAAGCGTACATGTGTACATTGTTTTATATTTACAATCGCTATTATATAATAATTCGTTTCGTAGATATGTGCCGCCAACATTGGCGATAGCTAATCTCTACTGGAAGGGATGGATAATGTTATTAATGATGGCTGCTCATAATCCAACTACAATCGGCGCATTAGCGTGGAAACGATATCCTATACTGAGAACATTGATGGAAATGTGTATAACAAAGTAAAAATCTATAAATTAAAAATATTTTATAATTATAATATTAAGCACATTGTAAACATTTCGTGGGAATGACCGGCTCTCAGCCGTGTTTTCATTCGTTTTACAGCCATTTCTCGTATCCACCACCGACTATGGCCTTGCCGGAGATAATGGAGCAAGAACGCACGAAGGAACTGCAGGTTGAAGCCATGGAGAAGCAAGAGATATTGGAATACGAATCACATTTAGCCGCTGCATCGACTAGAATGCAGTTATCTGAGCAAAATAGCTTTCTACTGTCACAGTTAATCACTATGGATCCAACGGGTATCGCTAGAAGACCACCGCCGGCTGTGCTCGAGCAACTACAGTCATTGAACACTTCTCACAGATTGGGTCATCTGCTTTGTCGGTCGCGAAAGCCAGATTTCTTGCTAGATATCATTCAGCGACAACAACAGAGCACGTCGCAGAGTATGCCTTGGTTAGCTGATCTGGTGCAAAATAGCGAGGGCTCTCTCAGTCAACTTCCGGTGCAATGTCTATGTGAATATCTCTTGTCGACTAGCCCGCAGACGGTCGAGAAGCAGCCCAGGCAACAGCAGTTGCTGGCTCACCTTCAGACACTGCTGACCGATCCGAATCAGGATCAGCAACACGCTTACGAAGTCTTGGAATACTTTTTGAGAAGACTGAGCAGTCAGCAGAGTAGTAGTCGCATACAAGCGATCACTGGATTGAAGATGGTTTTGGACTCGATACCTCTCGAAGATGACACTATGGACGTGGATGGGGAGAATGAGAAGTGAGTTTCTAGACTATGAAAAGAGAAATATTTTTTTAGTATTTTCAAGAGATATTTTAACACTGGGACATTTTCAGGGAGACTTGGCTGCTTCGAAAACTGCCGTCTATACCTCACTTTCTGTCTGTGCGCTCACTGGTTTCCACGGCGTTACGCGGCGCTTGTCAGGTGGAAAACAGCCCCGAACTGGTGCACACTTACATATCGTATCTGGCCGCGCATACAATCGACGACGATTTACCCGACCTGACCGACTTGGCCAACGAGATCTCTCAATTGGTCGTTGAACGTAGCACGATCATCGCGGCCATTCTGCCGCAACCGGAGAGCGATAATCAGCAGGCTAAGCAAACATTGCATGCTTTTATGGCAATCTTCTGCAATTATCTCGAGAAGGCACGATCGCCCAGAGGTGAGGGTTACCAGTGGTCCGAGAGTCAAGATCAGATTTTGGTGCAGTGGAGCAACGGCGAAGAGTGCACGATGCATATATTAGTGGTGCACGCTATGATTATATTATTAACGTACGATTCATCCGAGGATGATCAGCTGTTCACCACTTTATTAGAGACGTGGTTTCCACTGACCGAACAGCCGAAGGCTTTTCTCGTGGACACCAGCGAGGAAGCGCTACTCATACCTGATTGGTTGAAATTACGAATGATTAGAAGCAACGTGCCGCGTCTAGTCGACGCAGCTCTGAAGGATCTCGAGCCACAACAGCTTGTACTCTTCATACAGAGCTTCGGAATACCCGTGTCGTCGATGAGTAAACTGCTGCACACCCTTGACGCGGGTGTCCAGATCGATCCGGGGTCAGTCGGCGAAGCGGTATTAGATAAGACATACATGGCGCAGTTGGTTGAGGTACAGCATAGAAGAGGCGCTACTGGTGGATTGGTATTTGTGCAAGTGTTGCAGCTGATGGAACCGCAATTACCAGATGAGAATATGATGCCGATCAGTAGGTTGCAGCAACCGTTGCCGCCAAGCGCCACAGTGCAGAAGCAGTCCGTCATACAGTGCTCGATCAAGACCGATGTGCCTCATTTGATAAATCGACTTTTTATCGAGAACATCCATGTTAATCAAAAGATAGACGCTTATCGACGCTTGCATAAAACTCTAGCGAAGGATCTGCAGAGATCGAGCGTTAAAGAGAGCAGCGCCGTGGTGCTGGCGATACAGCATATATGCAGCGTTCTGAGTTCTATGCAGGTGAAGCAGTTTTTGGCCTCCCTCGTACACATGCCACAGTACTCTTGCACGCTGATGCGAGTGATACTGCTGCCACTGAAGAAACCGTCGACATCGAAACACGTAGTCGAGCTGGCACGCAATATGTGCCTGAATCTAATATCGCTGATAGGCGACGTGAAGGCGCCGGTCCTATCAATTCTGCGGGATTTCGCTAACGTGCAATTGACGAAGACGCCGCAACGTACGGAGCTGTCGATGCTGATGCAGAGCCGCGGCGAAGGTCCCGGTCCGATACTGGAGGGCACAGATCCCGTGAATCTGGAAGGCGTAGGTCGGAGACTGCTCGATCTTTGCCTGAAACAACAGAAGAACGATGTTTTAGTTGAAGCTATGGCGAAATTATTGGTCAGCGACAGTAATGAAGACGCGTTGAAACCTCGCACGGGCCTGTTGATCGATTGGTTGGCATCTGTGGAGCCTGAATTGATCGGTATTTGTCCCAATCTGCAGATGAAGTTATTATTCGGTAAAGCAAAGGTGCACATTAACATCGATAAGAATGTTGTCAGCTCGCATTCTTGCAGACCTTACTTGCTAACATTGTTGACGCACAGAGCAAGCTGGGCCACTTTGTATAAATGTGTTGGGCACTTGTTGGACAAATATGACGAAGGGTGAGTTTTCTTCTGTACAATTAAAAGAAATCTAATTTTCTTAAAAATATAATTTAAATTTTTTAAATATTGTTATTTTAAATTAATAATTTGATTTATATACTTTTTTAAATTTCTGTTTTTTAATTACAATATTAATGTAGATTCTTATATTTATGTGTGTTTGTAGATACGATCCAACTGCGGTTCTGGACTTTTTATGGGCTCTGACATGCAATCCTAAGCTGTGGCAAGGTCGGGACAAATTCACGCCGAAGCATTATGTTCCTGAGAATATCTTGCTGCTAGAAGAACGGCAGCTGCTTAATCTAGTGACGTATTTAGTGTCCGAAGCCGTTATTATATGTAATATGCAGAACAGAAACGCCGCCCTCGCAAGAATGGACATCAGATTGGATTTATTGTTGCATTGTATATCTACTGAAGATGAACTGATTTCCAGTGTAGTAAACTATTTAGCGGAACGTATGATGGATAATATTGAGTACGAATTTTACAGTCGTATACATCTTATAACATATCTTATAATTCACCGTTCGTTGTTTTAACGTCGATCGTATTTTAATTTTCAGCAAAGACTCGGCGGATATGGCACATCAGTTTCTACTTCACATGTACATGAAAATTCCGAAGGTTATCTGTTTTCTTAACACTTTCCAAGCGAACAAGTTCGTCAATGGAGCGAAAATAACCGATTGGACGGGCTCGGTGCTCGATTGTATGAGCCATTCTTTATTGACGGCGTTGGCGGCGACCCCGAGGCAAAAGTCCTGGAATTCGAAGTCTCAGGAATTCGAACTTTGCGCAAGAAAAATGGCCGCGGTGCATCCTATATTAGTATTACGGCAATTACCGATGTTGGCGTCTTCTTTAATGGGAAGATGTTATCTCGACTTCAGTCAATTTCGATCCGGTCATCATTTAAATCTCTTCACGCAAGTTATGGGATTGTTGGAGCTGTTGCAGCCGCATCTATTTGACAAGCAACATGAAACTCCATTGGAGAACACTTTGGAAAATTATTTTCAATGTTTCCAGGTATTGTACATTTTTTGTACATCTTTTATAACGACATGAGAAACATAAAATATCGATTATGACAATAATGCATTAAATTTACATCGAGAAATCATATTTGATTATAATCATAATTTTTATTTTTTTAATATTAAAAAATGAAAAAAAAAAACAAATGTTATTTGTAATTTATAATATACATTAAGTTGCCGTAAAATTGACTCAATAATTATTGTTATTTTCTCAAATTCTTTAAATACATTTTTCTGATATTTTATGGATACGATTTTCAGAATTACGGACATGTAAAAGATATTACCTCCTTGGTGATCAGATTCGTGTCGCTATTACAATCTTACATCTCACGTGAGCCACAACGAGCAATGAAATATCTACAAAAACACGCACAAGCTCTGCAGTAAGTTACTTTCTGTTAGACTGCGTATTACAAACAATATGTTTATATATGTAATTTATACGTGCAAATGTAGTGAGTTACAGATAAATTATCCTAGTATAATACCTTTGAGGACACTCGTATCGGGAATACCAATGCCTAGAGAAGGAGAAGATATAGATGATATTCTAATCACTATAGCTCCCACATTGCATCCTTCGGAACCTACCATTCCGACACACTGGCAATCACTGTTGACTACACTTTCCAAATTGCATGGTGAAGGTACAACAAATAATTATTTAAATATATCTTCAGTATGTGATTATAAACACACATATATATATATATATATATATATATATGTAAAGAGAAAAAAATTTACTGATCTCTTTAAACGAGACCAGTCTTTATTATCATAAATATTTTAAGAGAACGTATATAATATAGAAAAATTCAAAATTTTTTTTTTGTTACAGATGTGTTGAGTGCGCTTCAAGAAATTGAACACGTGTCATTGCGAAAACCTTCGGTCTTAGAACCTATAACGGATAATATAACGGAACTGCTTGTGTCTCCGCAGGGTAATATCAGGACGCTCGCTCATACTCTACTCGCTAGAGCGCTGAAACACCGTCCGGCATCAAACGCGAACATATTGTCCGCGTATCAAAGATGCTTAGACAGCCATAGAGCGGACGTTCTTATGTCAGCTTTGGAAAAACTACCGGATATTGTGTTATGCATGCAAGGTAAGCCATCTCCTGACAAATGACATTTTAATATTAATTCGTAATGAGTTTTATAAACAAGTCCTTTTGTTTCTACATTGCAGAACACGCTTTACCGTTGATGCAGAGAGTGTTCGAGCTAGGAGTAAATTCGAATGTCAACACGATACCTTATATCAATAAGACTATCGCCTTGTTAAACACACAGCAAGGTTGTTAATATCAAAAAATGTTAGTCTGTTTTGTAAATATTAAGCATTAAGACTTTTCTACGATTAAAACAAAACTGCAAAAAATTTCTTATTTTTTTCTTCCAATGCACTCGAGCTGTAAGTTAATATAATTATTCAAATACAAAAATAAAAATAGTATAAAACTTTTTTTTATATTTTTTCATATATTCATATCTTCATCTTTTTTTACAAACTTACACATGTTTACAAAACTATATATTTTTATATCATTGTCAGTCCATTGTAATTATACATTTATTGAAAAGCTTCTGGAGGAATATCGTTAACTGTATATCTCTTCGTAAATATATTTATTGCGTTTCTTATATTCCATTCTGCTTCCTGCAGATACTTGTAGCAATATCGAATATTCATTTTTGTAATTTCGCGTAAAAATCTAAGTAATTGCTCCTTTTCCGATACACTGAGTACTGTTGGAGTGAACTTGGGCACAGGTTTCAGTTCAAATTTTATTTCATTAGTCATGTGGGAAGGTATACCATCAATATAGTATTGATCATTTACAATGGTATGTTCATTGTCTTCTTTTCGTATAATAATAAAAGTTCGGTTGAAGAACATAGGTTGGCATTGTGATATCCGATACGCAAATAATCCTTGAATGGAAATGGCTATGTAATTATCTCCTTCATCCAACAAATCAATATGAAATGTTTTGAAATCATGTGACGTTGGTGGTTGTCGTTGGAGAGCGGTGATTATCTTCTCAGGTCCACAAAAAAGAAAATCATGACACTTAGCATAATCAGCAAATTTTAATAAATTCCTGTTTGTAGAAAATGTTTTGACAATCTCTTTATTTGCATGATTCATAGTAGTACCTAATGTCATGGAATAGAACGCATTTTTGTCATATAGACCATGCATAACTATTCTATCCTCTTGATCATACAGTGCAAAAAAGTGCTTGACAAATTGCTTTATCAAAGAAATCTTTGTTCCATTGCCGAGATAATTATTCTGTATACTTGGCACAAACTTTTTCTCCATTCCTATGACAATCCCATCTAATTTTTGTAGATGTGGAAATATATTTTTCACGGCCTGTATGTAGTCCTGAGAAGTACTATACTTGTCACACAATGGATTTCCATCCAACCAAAGTTCGCTTATTTTGAACTCGTGAAAATAACGTAGATATTCCACATCCAGGATTTGATTGTGTCTTAAATCCAGTTTGGTCAGATGATAATTGAAAAATTTGTCAAATAATATGATGGCTGTGAGCTTGTTGTACTTCAAACTCAACTCACGAACGGGCAACCGTGTTTGCTGGGACTCACGACTGTTGCCCATAATTCCTAATTTGCTGCAACGTAAGACTAGGTCAAAGATCTTTGGTATAGATATAGGACAGAATATTGAACCCAGTGCCTTCTCGTTTTCAAAGTCATCGAGATTGAATATCTTTTTCACTGGTTCATATCTGGCGTGCAATGCTTGAGCTATGACTCTATTTGTATTCACTTGCAACTCTTCCGTGCTGAGAAATCCCAACACAATATCCAGATGTAGTTCCTGTCCACCATGCAATGTTATGCACAGTCCCTGCGCTATTATATTGTCTATAGCATTGCTGCCGCACTTTGCTAAAAACGTACTTTTATTATTTTTCTCGACGGTATACATAATTGGTATCACAATCGCCGGATCACAGGCAGTTATTACAGCGCGTAAGACATCAGTTCGCGGATGCAAAGCGCCGTCGAAAATGATGAATTTATGCCATAAATCCATGCGGCTTGCAAGAGTTACCTCATGATCATCAAAAGATGGATTTAAATGAGTAAGCCGGTGCGGTTCCCATGTCTGACTTTCTAACGGTTTAGGCGATGCCATTGTTTATTGTGATGAAGAATAGCTGTTTTCTTGAAATTTCCAAGTTCTTACAAAATAGAAACACACAATATTAAAACAACAATATCATAATGAACAGCAACGATATTCGTTAGTAGATATCAATTATCCGTTTTATAAACTTTGTTCAGATCTACAAAACAGTAACTTTCATTTCTATCATTACATCTATTTTGAGATTAGATTAGGTTACATATCGTCAGAGAGAAATCTGACAGGGGCCACGCTGCCGTTTTTCGTACGACGCATTTACTAGGCCGTACACTAGCGGCGCGTACATCCATTTTACAGCCTGCCTGGAACTACATGGCCACATCCATTTTCCGGGATGGTAAAAGAGAGAACATCTTGAGCGTGGCCTCTCTCAGGTTTCTCTCTGGTTGTCACTACAGCGATACGACTTTTCTTGGAAACATCGATTGCAAGAATCGATAATAGTCGATAATTACGAGTCTCGATAATCGAATGCATCACTACATTTCAACACTACTCTACGATAATTGACGTATATGGTTAGGAATATTACATTATCGTAAACATATATTTTACAACATTATCGTCAAGAAAATCTGAAGTAAGTAATTAAGAATTATAATTTCTTATTTAATTTATTTTGGATTAGTTATTCAGATAATATTGCTATTGTTATGCGTATAGATAAATCGTATATCAGATACACATATAATAATAGGTTATCTTTTACTCAGATATAACAATTTAGCATTATTGTTAGCAGTTTTACTCTTACTAATTTTTGTAAGTTAGCATTCTAAAAATTAATAATAGAGCAGAATAGAGTACAAATTTTACTTTAGATTCAGATGTATGTGTAGTGATATTGTTTTATATTTTTATTTGCAGACACAAGACAATATTATAAAAATCAAGGATGTCAAAGGTACTAGATGAGGAATTGAAGCAAGCTTTTGCAAAGTTGCATGAGAAGATGGTGGATACTAAACAGAAACTAAAGTTGGCTGATATACAAATTGATAAATTGCGACGTACAAAACAGCGGGCAGAACTCACTACAAAAGAAATCACCAGCATTCCCGAAGATACAAGAGTGTATGAATCTGTTGGTCGAATGTTTCTTTTAGACAGTATGAATAACATTAAAAACAGTTTGGTAAATAGAATGAAAACATCTGATGAGAAGATCAAAACGTTAGAAAATAATAAGACATATTTACAACGAAGTTTAAAAGAAAGCAAAGATGAAATAACAGAAATGATTCAACAAAAGCAAAATAAAGAGACTTCTGGTTAATATTTTTATGCATCAGTGTACGAATACTATTTGAGTTTCTTGATATTTCTTAAGTTTTTCTGATTAATATTTGGAATGCATATCTGTGAATATAGACAGTTATGAAAATTTCATCTGTTGATTGAAATCATGCTTCACATATTCATGCATTTTTGTAATGTAACACTTTTTTTGTATAATATATTTGGAATAAAATTGTTTAATGAGTCAACTAGATTATGAGAAAATTAATTTCCAATTTTATAATTATAAAGAAAATAGATTCGACGTAGCTATAAACAATTTCTTTGTTGCATCAACACACCTGTAAGCTTCAACGATCAAGAGAGTTGCTGAGGCAATAACAAACTGCATTTTTAGTTATCTAATCTTATGCATCATGCTTAGATGACGCTTTTTGTTCATTATCTGACTTTGATTGCTGTTATAGTTTATCTATTCCAAGTAAAATAAATCTCGTTACATTAGTACATGGTTTTGTATTTTGCGCCTGTAGACTAGAGTCTCTAGGGTCTCTAGGGTCTCTAGGATGGACTTGCTCCTAATGCCATCTGTATATTGTAGAATAAAAAAAATTTTGATTGCTGTTCTGTATATCGAAAATGTAACCGTATAACCTCTTTTAATAGCAAAAGTTTGGTTTTTATCAAAAGAACAATGTCGACATTAATATTGAGATCTCTGGCATCGTTAAGTAGGAATTCTTATAACGTTTTTACTAAGGTAATTTTCCACAAAAAAGCACATTCTTTGGTACTTCAAAAAACATTGTGGTGATACTTTGCATAACATTGCAAAGTGATAACTTGTAAATAATTTTTCTCATTTATGTTTCTAGAACAAAATAAAAATTTTATTAATTTTTGCTAATTTGTAATTTATTAATTTTATTTTAAATATGAGTGCATGTTTGTTAGACGACAAACAAAATTATTTCTTATAATAGATATTAAATAGTTAATCATATAATATTGTGAATTAGCATATTGCATATAGATCTCATTATATTGAAGCTTTAATATTTTTTTCAAATAATTTTATTTTTTTTAATAATAGACCTTAAAATTAGATATACTTTTAATCTTGATTTATATTATTAGACACAATTTTATATTAAAATTTCTTGTAAATTTTATCAATAAATTTCTTTTTATTTAGTTTAGGTACATGAACACATCAAAAATATTATGTCAACAATCTATTGTATCAAAGGATCCTAAAGTAAGTAAAAAAAGATCACCAATTACATGGAAAAGTTTGATGCTTTCCGGTCTTGTTGGCACTGGTCTTCTACTATATATGAACAATCTAAGAAATGAAAAAGATAAGGCCATGGCACGGGAAAGAAAACGGCAATTAGGCAAAGCCAAGATTGGTGGTAAATTTGAATTAATAAATACAGAGGGAAAAACAGTAAAGTCAGATGATTTCTTGGGACAGTGGATACTGATATACTTTGGATTCACACATTGTCCGGATGTTTGCCCAGATGAAATCGAGAAAATGACAAAAGTGGTAGATAATCTTGGTAAGTTTAAAATTTTTTAAATTTTTATGCTAACCGAAAAGAAAGAGAGAAATATTTTATTCTTATATAATGGTTATCTTTTTTGTTTGCAGAAAAAGAACATAACTTTAAAATACAACCAATTTTCATATCAGTCGATCCAGACAGAGATACACCCACTATTGTTGGCAAATATCTTAAAGAATTCTCTGACAAAATTATTGGTCTTACTGGCAACTCCGACCAAGTGGGAAATGCGTGCAAAGCTTATAGAGTTTATTATAGTAACGGTCCCAAAGATCAGGACAATGATTACATCGTTAGTACATTAGGAATTACAGTTAAATAATTATACGTTTGTTTTTGTGGCATTACATTTTCTTTCTTTTAGGTGGATCACACTATTATTATATACTTGGTAGATCCGGAAGGCATGTTTGTCGATTATTATGGACAAACTCATGATGCGGAAAAGATGATGACTAGTATCCTTGTGAACAAATTGAAGCATGACCAGTTGAAAAATGATGATTCTTCTTCTTCTTGGCTACCATCATTGTCGATTAAAGGAGTGTTATAAGTGCTGACATTCCTCTGTAAAGTTAATTTTTATGTCAGTATTGTACTATAAAAAATTATAAACATGCCCAAAAGTTTATGTCTTGTATATATAATTTATTTTTTAATGGTTAAATGTTAAAAAAAAAATTTTAAATTAAATTAATTTTTGTTATAGAAATTTGTCTAGAAACTAATATATATGCATATCCAAAATTATATATATGCAGCAAATAATAAAAATTTATTAGGCTTATTTTTTTTTATTTTAATATAATTTACATTAAATTGATTTGTGTAAGTTTTACATCAAGCGTATCGTTGATCTTAATACAAATATATATATATACATTTACATACACATAGTGAGAGAGCTTATGAGGTAAAACGTTCAATCGAACATATATTTTCAGAATAAAATATTTGTATCTTAAAGTTGATAACACTCTTCACAATACGCAGCGCTATTGATGCATTTCTTAACAAGAAATTTTTGAACATTTATTTTTATATATTAAACATATTTAGTAGCCTTAAAAACTAGCATTTGTCCATAGGATTTTCATAGATATCGTTGTAGGCTTAAAAAATGTTGATATCATTTACGTCGTTGATGAACAATGAAGAAATGATTATAATATCCTGATTGTTTTATTAGATATAAAAAATAGAATCTTTGTAGAGAAATTAAATAAAGCTGCTTTAAAAGTATTCTAAATTTTATGCAATGTTTGATATCTTATTAGAAATCGCGAATGTGTAAATGTATAACGGTTGATAACAGATTTTTGCGACATGTGATATAAAGCCATATGAAAATTTAACAAGTTATATTATCTATATTTATTATACTATATATGCATAAAATTCATCATGAATAATGGACGTTTAGTATTTTCGCGAGCTAGACTCGTCTATCAATGACGCATATTTCATAATATCGAGAGGTATCGATGAAATATTTTGTCAGATATTCCAATACGTTCTAACAAATCCTTAAAATAATTATATTGAACATCGGCTATACATTATTATATATATATATATATTTGCTCGAATGAATTAATACGCATGATTGCGTCAAATGACACAATAACCCTGTAAAAGAAGATGTGCAAATCAAAAATGATTTAATTTCCATTTAAGTTGCAAAAAGACTAAAAGAAAAATACAAATAGAAATACAAAAAGATAGAGATTTTTTTTACTCTCTTCTATTTATATTCTCTTTTATTTCGAAATTTTATACCAAAAGTTGAATCCTTCAGTAGTTCTATCTTTATCTTCAGGGATAATACACGCGTACGTTTAAATGCATATTGTAGATTTACGTGACAAGCGACATGTTTTTTTTTTTTTTCTATCGTGCGTGAGAATCCGGGCATTATTACGGATGCCCGTGGTGTTGTTGCAGATTGTGCAGTTCGTATGCGATGTGACAGCACTCAGAGTCGCTCCATCGATGCTGGTCGCGGATTTTATCGATATTTGGTCCTGATGTATCTGACATCTGAGAAAAAAAGCAGTTAACACAGACGAGACTCAGTTTCGCAGTGACAGAATAATTTTCACTTTTTCGGAGGAAATCATTTATCACAATATATATGTGCAATTATACTTGCAATTACATATTAGATCTTAAAAAGTACACTAAGTCCTTACGAAAAAATATAGCTACTTCTGTATCATATTAAAATTCACAGTATACTATATAAATTTTCATTTGATATGACTACAAGCTTTAAAACAAGTTTTGTGTATTTTCTTGAGAAAAGATTGTGTTGAAATTGAGATTAAGCGCCCTTTTTTCGCTCCTCACTTAGCTTCATATCCATCGTGCTACTGTTTCGCGCGCGATATTACTGACTGCTACAGACGGCGATGGGTATTATGATGCGATAAAAGAAAAGATGGATTTGGATGGCAACTGGATTACACTGGAGCAAGATGAACATTTGCGTAATGAAGGCACTCACATTCGAGCAAAAGGAGAGGAGCGACTGATCCGTGTATTTACTACATAAAGGTGATGTATGATGAGCGTGTTGATTTTGCGTTGTCGACTGTAGTACTTGGCCGTTACCAGCAATCTCTACATAGCCCCTGCTGCTCGCTAGACTATCTCCTCTCGTTCCAACATCTACAAAATTTCATAGCTCATATTATTACATTAGAAGAATCGTATGTGCAAAATAAGTTTGTCTTTGTCGTTTTTATCATAAATCAATAATTTCAATCTTCACAGTCAATTTTAAACTCGTATTTCAAGCTTTTCCAATATCTGACTTGACTTTTCAAAGTGTATTACGTCATATTGTAAGACATTTCTATCTGAACGTTTCTGGGGCAGAAAGAATTTCGCGTGATATTTTAACTTCTATCGAACGTTTCTTATTTGTGCGATGAATTTTTAAAATAAACCTGTCATGTGTGATTACTGTTGCTCATATTGCTCACATTTAAAGTAAAACGTAGCGTGTGGCTTCGAATTTTGTAAGATAAGATAAGAAAAATTGTTATCTCGCAAACTGAAAGTTCCCTTATCTAAATATTTATTTGAACAATTATTAAAGGTAATTAATCTGTAAAATTTTAAAAGATTTGGTCAATCATTCTGAGTCTAGATAGCAAGACTATTTATTTACTCTTTAAATTTAATTTAAGAATAGCGGCTTGGTCTTCACAGTGTAGCTCTTCGTTCAATTACCTATTAAAAAATCGGAATCAAGCGGTCACATTTAACACGATACATTAAACACGATGATTTGATGAGACACATGGAGGGACACGACGTTTCGACGTAGGACTTAAGAGGACACCTTGTGTACTCGCCATCGAGTGAGTGGATCGACGAATGGCGCGTTCCTGGAACAGGCAGGGAGACGCTTTCCAGCGCGACTTCCACCACTTTGACCTTTTCGAATGTCGCCGACCGGACTTGGACACGTTATTGCAACTGCATGTGCTGACCGAATGCGTGGACGGTCTCGAGCCCCATCGAACTCCGTGGAAACGTGACAACGGGCCGCTGCGTAGCACTCTCGTCAGTTCGGTCCTCACCTCACCGTTCAAGAAGCAATATAACACCGCCACGAAGAAACCCTGAACAATGAGACAACATTAATCATGATGTTTAATTTGCATATAATAGCGTTTAACTTAGCCGGTTGATAAGACACAATTGAAGGTAATCATTAGGAAACACTTGCTTTTTCATGTAACAACTTCCAGATGCTTATGTATTCAGCAGATTAGTGACATTAATAAAAGCAAATTACCTGGAAAGATGCGAACAGCTGATCGCAAAAAAGCCACACAATCTCTACAATTTCGTTCACGCCAACGCTGTATGACATTCCAATAAAGAATGCGTAATGAACTCCGAAGAGCGGCACCAGGACTAAAGTGCTCCTAGCCCACCGTCTGCCAATCGAGAAAAATATTAGACATACGTACAATTAATTCGACAAAATATGAAAAAATGACAAATAAATGATTATATATGCGTATCTTATAAAAAATTCCATAAAAAATAGAAATATAAAGATATATAATAAAATACCTTTTCACATAGAGCTTACTTGTATCTTTGCGTTTCCTCCGTCATAGTGGACTTGAGTTTTATCAGCAGCACTCTCACAATGTTGATGAAGAGCACGAAATTTATCTGACACGATCAGAGACGCGACCAATTAATTAGCGGCCAAAATTAATTATAGTTTGAGGAGCATTTCCGGTATCGAGATTCTTACCAAAATAGAGAGCATCGTGGGCACTCGTATGAAGAGGAATAAAAGAGGCTTCACGTTTGTCGTCCAGCAGTACGTATCTTCATATATAATTCTCGTGGCTACCCAAGGTAAGATAAATACAGCTGGCAAACCTAAAATTTTAGGTAAAGTTGTGGCATTTGTATGCGCAGGCAAATTTGTTAGATGAATTGCGCTGATATCAAGTTTCTCTCGAAGTGGAAATAAGTAGAGAATAAATTTTCAGTAAATTGCATTTCACGATTATAGAAAAAAAAAATTTTTCAAGTAATCTGTAATGTCCTTTACAGATTATTAATTTGAAACTCTTTAAAGAAAGAAATCACAAATAATACCAAATATCTTTAGCGATGCGCAGCGGTCAAATTTATGTTTCATGCAAGATCATGTTGTAACTTTTATGAATTTTTGACTACGATGAATTATATATGTTCCCGAAGAGAATTCCTTTCTGTGTGTGTTTTTTACTGCTATGAAATGACACTGAAAGAGATCTACACTATAAAACTTTATATCTGTTTTTATTATAGGTACTTGTTTTTCAGAACGGATTTTTGTCAGCAAAAAATTTAGTGTTTGTCTTGGAGTCTTCAAATAAATAACACGGCTTTAAAAAGATAAACGTTTTCTGAGAAAAACAACTTTTCAGATTATACTCAAATAACACTCGCAATTTACCGATTCATCTTGATAAATAAATGCAAAGTCTTTTAATCTTTTTAAGATAATTAAATTTTAAATAAAATTCTCAACAAAGGAAACGTGATGTTAATATTTTTTTCAAGCACTTGTGTGTATGTTCAATACACAAGACATATAATTGAATAATATTTCTATTAAAATAATAAAATTTATGTACTTAAAAATGTATAATTTTTAATATATCCGTTTTTCAACTGGCGAGTCAGTGAATAATTAAAGTAAAATATTGCATAATTAATTTAGAAATATATGAAATCGGGCGAGGCACTACAAGTCTTCTTAAAACTGTTAAAGTTAATAATAACTTTTTAAATATTAAACATACCCCATCCGAAAGCGACGTAGCATGCGATGCTGGAGTTGGCATCGGTGAAGAGCGCGAGGAAGATTAGATTGTGCAGATAAATACCCTCCATCAGAATCCAGGAGTAATTGGCCAAGATAAAGTATTGCCATAGGCTAGTAAACATTTTGCAATGCCACTCGCCGATCTCCTTCTTGTCGACCAGCCAATAACCCTCGTTGTCCTCGATCACGGAGTCCGCCAGACCAAAGCCGGACACGAAGAGCATATCCTTGAGCAACGCCATGAAGGCGCGCATCACGAACGAGGCGAACAGGTGCATGTGCAATATGTTTCGTGAACATCGCAATTTCCTACGTCCGATGGGAGACAAACTTGAACGTGGCAACGCGAATTGCGTTCAATTAGGAGATGTGAGATCTTACGTGGCGCCGTGAAACACGATTCGACTTTGAGATAATAAACTATTTCGTGTCATGGGAAATCTCGATAATCTCCAAGGGTCGCGATATTATAGATGTAAATGAGACATGCAAATTTTTTACATCTTTTATAATAAATAGTTCTAATGTTAAAAGCGTTATTTTGTAACTTAGATATATTGAGGACCTAAAAAGGCTGATAAAGATTTGCAAGAATTATATCTAAACGTCTTAAAGACACTTCAGAAAAATGTTGAACAATTCTTTTTTTAAAACTCACTATAAGCGTTAAGAATATTTAAAGCGAGGCGCCTCGTTACAGTTAAGATTATATTAACATAATTATACTTACTTGATGGTGGCCAAAATGCAAAACGCGATGATTAGAGTGAACAGCGAAATTGTGTAGCCGAGTTTCGAGATAGTCTTCACAATCGGGAAGAATTTCTATAACACGCAATCGCGCGCGTTCTGAGTGGGAAATAATTAATCATTAACTTACCACTTACTTACGATTTTAATTATCGAAACAATCACGCACCAACGCGTGTTAATGGTAATATGATAATATTATTGTGTAAATAATTAAAATAAAATGAGATCATTATTGATTATTTTTAGACATTACTGAGAAAGCATTAAAAGAATATTAGATAACACGCAAGAATAAAGTTCACTTATTTCCTGCGATAGTTATAAGTGTCGTTTTTATAGATAATTTTGTTAAACGACTAGCACTTGAATAATGCTTTGTACGACGCTGTTGTCATGAACGTTATCTTTACGAGGAGTGCAAAGTGAGAAAGTTTGAAGTTGTGCTTAATTTATAGCGCTCATAAACCTTTGCAGTTACCTCTATTATATAGTTCTCCATTATTTTCCATTGACAACATTCTTTGTCTCATTGCATATTCACTTTCATATATTCGCGATACGAGTATACTAACTCTATGATCTTCAAAGAGATTAGTTCTTATCACGGTTCGTCGTCGCCTTACGAAAACTCCTTTATGTAATTTCTGAAGTCATCCTAGTTACATACTGAATAAAACACCTTCATTCAATTTGTTAGTATCAAAATTGTAATAAGCGTCATCGTTTATACATCTATTCAATGTATTTTGCATAAAATTAATTTGCAAACACTTTTAAGAAATTCTGATAGCAAACATTTTTTTCAATTCTATCTTTTACATTGATATGATAAAAAATAAATAAAAAATAAATAATTGTTGCTAAAAATAAGATTCACTGTCATGTCGGTGCCGGAGTTGGTGCTCTAGCTATAACGCTGTGAGGCGGAGTGGAGCCTGATTGCCGGTCTTAAAATCAAGCGCGCGGGCCTCAGAGGAAAATTCTTTTCAGCGTTTTCTCCGCTCGATAATACTATTACAACGTAACTATTGGCTCATTTGCCCGCCCGCTCAGTTCATTATCGTCCAAGTCTGAAAACTAACTATGCCGGAATGTCTCGGCTGCTCGATTGTATGAAGCCGTCGCGACGCCCACCCGGTGGACAGAACGTTTATGGCTCTCATTTCCTCGCAAGTAAAGCAACTGACGTCACGTCATCGTGTGATTCCGATCGATCTTTTCATCTCCGCCGTGTGAAACTCGGGCTTGTTGTTGTTCCGATTGAATTATCGTCCGTGTTTTCGGAGAGAAAAATATAATCGTTTATCGGCGCCACTTCCCTACTCTTGTTTACTTACTTTAATCAGGGTGACGTTGTTCGCCTGCACATCCGACGTGTTCACCAGTATTAGTGACTCCCGGTAGCATTGGCTGTAGTTGCTCCACGTGCTCTGAGTTGCGTCGCTCCAGTACCACTCGCCGTCCGGCATACATTGTTTCGACGCGAATGCCTGAAATATGCGTTTCTTTTCTACTTACAGATCCCTCAACATCGATGTCGATTATTTCTGAGCAAAAACATCGAAACATCGCTATCTCTTAAGATACAAGTGAACTTATTATAACAGAGATTCATCTCAATTTAACTTGAAATCAATTTTAGTTTAGTAGAATATTAATTTTCGAAGTGATTGTAAAGATATATAAAAAAATGTTAAAACAAGACCATGTGTAATGAAATTCTGGTTGAGAGAAAATAAAATCCGAATTTGTTGTAAAAATCGATTGAACGTGTCGGGAACTTTTAAGTTGAATCACCGCGCCAAAAGCATTTCAATCAGTTTGATTTAAAGAATGAATTTTATCATCGATCCGAGAAAATCTTACGTCAAAACGTTATTAGAGACACGAATCTAATTAAGCTCCTTATAACTTGAAGTGAATCTCGATATTGATCTGTTCCGATCGTTATTCTATTTAAGTAAAATTTTGCTATTGAGACAAGCGCGAGATGACTTCGGAAAAATTCGCACGGATTAATTCAGCGTGGAAAATTTTATGCTATCATATAAAACATGATTACATACATGAGTGTCGAAACCCACGATGTAAGAGGGACAGTACTGAACGGCTAATTGTCCAGGTGCCGTCGAGTTCCAACAAAGTATCCTGTCCCAAATCTCAGGACACCAATCTAAACAGATCGCATCGAAATATTAGCGCAAAAATCAATGATATTTTCAAAAAATTATATTATTATTTAAAAAAAATTATTTAATTTATTTTCGAGACTTACAACCCTATTGTTCGAATTATTAATTACAAAAAAATCATTAAAGAGAGATCATTTAAATATCTTTTACGTATTGTATTTTATACTTTTATATATAACAATTATACATATTTACAAACGCAGTACCATCTCATCATATTTGAATATTTGCTATATCAGCTCACGTCAATTTCTGCTATCGGTATAGCGGAAATAACGGATCGGCTCTTCGATGCACGATAGGGCGCAATACACAAATCTGATTATATATTGCGCTTATTATTATCAAATATGCTGTGCTGCACATCAAGCGAATCGATTTGCTATTGTCATAAGCAGTATCGGGCGTAATTCGCATATGAAATTCGCAAAGCCAAGTGTGAAATTCGACGCGCTCCTACGAATTGCCGGTCTTCCTGTGGCGAGTCTGATGCGGCTTACAGCGAATAGGAATCCATTAGGTTCTGGACATGTGCGAGCGAAATTGCATTTGGTGATTTCCATGTGTATATCGTCCACCAATCTGTATGCGAATGGCTACGTGAAGCTGCGGGCCACTGCTATTTACTTGAAACAATGCCATACCTGGTATTATCGACGTTCGTTATACGTATGAGCGTATACTGGATACTGTGCATCCGGATATCGGTGCATCGCTTCTCTCACACGCCACGTACAGAAAATGTATCGAAAGTCGTGCACCGCTTCTCGATCGGCGCCGGATATTGTTCGGATATGTTCGAACTAACAAGATTTACGCAGTCGGGCCGATCAATTTAAACGGAACTTTGTGGAAGGATAAAGGGAATAGCGATGAAATTCGTGTCCCTGATCGCGCTTTAAAGGTATAATGTTGAATTTTTAAGTCCGCGCCTGTTAAGAGCGCTCTCATTATCTCACACATAGTCCTAAATAAATTATAGAATATAAAATCATATTTAAAATTGTAAAAAATACGCATCTAAATTCAAATTCTATCAAAATAGGAACAAAAAAATGTATAGAACGATTATGCAAAAACGACTTTTAATGTACCCTGTAATAAGTATACATGTATTCGGTTAGTAAAAAAGTTTTATATTTCGTCGAGTGCCACGGTTAAAATCTAGATCCTATAAATTATGCATAGTAGTAAAACTGAATTATGTAAAGCGGCAGAAAATTATTAAAAGTTAAAAGTACTTTTAACCCGGTGTAACTTTATAGACTATTTTTCATATCGCAATACTGTTCGCGAATCCTTCATTTCTTCAAGCTGCATTTAAATTTGCGGTTTCTTAACAGTCGTAACAGTAAAACAATTTATCGGAGCTTCTTTGTAACTATCTTTCTTTCAACTCCAGTTTTTCCGAATTAAAAGCAAGAGTTGTAATGGAAAACTGGAGTTTCTTTAACGAATACATCAAATTGTGAAATTCTAGGCTTTTTGAACAAATTTTTATGCTTTTTTTTATGCATTTAATTATTCCACTCTGTTAAATCAAAAAGATTCATGTGTAAAAATAGAAATTTAAATTAACAAAATAACTAACTTTATTGAATATAACGATGTTGCATGACACGTGTCAGACGATATTCCATATAACTTCCCATTGTGAAAGCGATGATAAATGAAATTCATGGTCCAAAGTATCGAACCGTGAAATGTGAGGCCTTTGGAAAATTTCTAAATATGTTTAATTATTCTGCTTTATTAATTAAAGGAGAAATTTATATGCGAAAATTGAAGTCCCAATTAATAAAGCAACCAACTTTAATGAATAGCTTGATGTAACATTGATATGTGTTTGGCAACATCCCGTATTATACGAATATTGTGATAAATGAAACTCATGAAACTCGTTTAAATTCGCAATCCAGTGTTGCTGGTGTAATTAGTGACGGCTCACTAGTTTTGCATGTGATTTCACCAAGCTGCTTAAACGGACCAGCATCGTGATGTGAGATTAATTGCGACATTAATTGCTCTGGAGACATTCTATAAACGCTGTTTACTCACGCGTATGTGTACACGCGCGGAAACGCAAAATGTGAGCCGTGACACGTGTGAACGCGTGCGATCGACATTAGTCCATGTGCTGCGTGCATTATCTCCCGATCTTCCCAGATGCATTATGCAAATTGATAGCCTGCGAGTTCATTCTGAATTGTTTACTTTTCGCTGATGCCAGCCGCGCAACGTTTCCAAGCGCGGCGCAGATTGTTTTAGTTCTCAAAAATCGCGAACAAAACAAGAAATTAAAATTATTTCGCAATTTGAGCTCAGAATATGAAAATAAAGGAATTAAAGATCTCGGAATATTGAAGTCACAATTGCAAAATTATTATAGAAAGGACATTTAAATAGCATAGATATTGCAATAAACATAATTATAATAAAATAAATATCAATAATGAGAAATAAATATTGTTGACAATACTCCGTTAGAAAATAATTGAAAAATTAATTATTTACGATTCTATTACAAATCATAATTACACATAGCCTAATCAATTAGATCACTCTATTGCGACGTAATTAAATGCCTCGTAGTATCTCTATTATATTTATCTAAGCTGTCCAACAATATTAATTAATAGAAACAATCGGTTGATACCTAACAATCAATCATAATTATTGCGTAATAGACAAACACGAAGAGATCGAATGTGCGATCGATGGAGCGATTATAAATGATTTGATACGAAGCAGGTGTAGAACGTTAATTCGAGACCGTTCGAGTACATGGTAGATTTTACTAAACGTGCGTTTAATCGCGCTTAACCATGTCAATTGCAACGTATCGATTTTTCGTTGAAACATCAATAGTGTCTAGTGCGTGGCAATACTTCTTGCATTTCACAGTTTTCGAAATATTATATATTCCTGTAATATTATTCTGTTCTGCTCACCTGTGTTCAATCTATTTCCTTGATTGCAGCGCTTGGATTCCAATTCGAGCGCTTCGGTCAACTGATTCTGGAGTCGGCTGATATCACCATTCCTCTGAAACAAATTCAATGTAAATATGGATTAACATTTATAATTATTGAAAATTACAGCTTGCATATGTTATGTAGCTTGATTTTAAATATTACTTTCAAAGTTCGCATTTCAATTTTTTAAGTTTTTATTTCAATTATTAACTTTACACAAGCGCGCGCTATTTTTTTTCGTTATGTAAAAATTTACATTTTTACCTTCTTTTTTAAACACTTTTGCTTTTTGTGTAATAACAAAGATACAAGCTTTCAAACACCTGTTATAGTACAAGCTGTCAAAACGTCTTCATGACAATCGATAGGTAATAAACAAAATCGTCGCAATAAACACGAACGTCGAGATAACAATCGCTCGATAACGCAATAACGTGCAACGCGAATCCCATATTTCTGGTTTTCCTTGGGGGGGGAAAAAAAAAAAAAATCTGTAGGGTTATTGGGATTTTCCCATCTTCGCCGTCCGTGTAAAATCTCAGACCTTCGCTGTTCAAAAGATAATTAATTATTTTTTTGACAATTTGTAAATCAATACAAAATACAATAGTTACAGATTAATAAAAAAACGTGTTTAACCTATATTTCTGGTTTTTTTTAAAACTTATGTGGTGACTGTTAAACGCAATTGTCTCGATGACAACCAATTAGTAACGCAAGTTACGCGCAATGTTCATGTAGTAAGAAAAGAGACCTTAAAGTAAATAACAAAAAGTAAATGCCTTTTTTAAGGTAGGATTTCTCTCGCATTATCTTCTTGCGACAGCGCCGACGGAAGACAATACTTCCGAGTATTCACATATGATTTTCTCACATGTGACAATAATGAATACAATCATCCGGAAAGCAGTAGGAGAAAATATATCGGTCAATTAAGGACAAAGATGACAAATTACTGTTCATAGACGATAATGTATTACGATGGAACTATAATATCTGCGAGATGGATTTATCGACTGGAATACGATATTATCTCTAAAGAGGATATTATAGGTTTAAATAATATTAGACAGCAACATTTCCACACACACACATACATTTCGGTCCAAGATTCCGCAACCGTCTATTTGTGTAATATGCGTTCCTCGTATTTATTTTACTCGCTTATATTTTCATATCCGCCTACGCAAATATAAATCAACTGCGGACTATTTAACAAAATTCTTTCTCATTTGGTTTCATGTTAATAATAGATATCTAATATGCATTTTAATTTAAAATATTAATTAAACAATATTTAACAACGTTTGGAACGCTCGTCGATTTGGTTATATTTTGAGCAAAAAAATCTATTAAATAAAGTCCAGTTAAATAAAACAATTTTATATATGTTTTAAATGGAAATACCGTTTACCGCACAAATATTCCCGGTCTCCGTATTTAATTTGCGTATCGGGCGTATCGAACCGGCGCATGCACATATTGAAACATGGAAAATCGCACGAGAAACATTAATTCGCGTTCGTTTTCACGCGGAAGTGAAAAGCTCACCGGGAACGAATGCCTTTGTGATTTTAACCTGGCAAAAGCTGATATCTTCGATTCTATCGCTTTATCTATTTTTTTCGATCGCAGCTTCTCGTTACGGAATCCGAGGAATCCCATGACCTGGTTTTCCCCAATGAGGAAAAAATATACGCGAAGAGCTAAACGCTTATCGGAAATCGTATTTTTTCACGTTCTCGTCTACACAAATATTTTTTAAAGCCAGAATTTTTTCTGTCATCTCTAGTAAATCTTTATTTCGAAATGGCGCTTTAAAGTTGACAAACGATATACATTTTTTCTTTTTGAATACCAAGTTGCACGCTATTCTACAAATCTATGTAATGTACAAGCGTGAATGCACAAAGCTCCTTTTGTCATTTTGTGCTTTCTTTCGCTTCATTATCTGTTTTGTTACGCTTCTTTCCGATGTTTAGTCGTCTCGGTGACCCGACAATCCTATCTAACAACCTTTACGATCTTTTTTCTCAGAAATTATTATTATTATTTCGGCAATACATTTTTACGAAGAGATGTTAGTGCAAACAGTCAATAGATCTGTTTACGCAATACAACTACTGATTATCAAGCTGTAAATTAATATGGAAAACGCGGCATCGTTAAATACATAAATTTATGACCTCTGGATTACACAATGTGTTCTGTTCTAGAAATCAAACATTAATATGATATTTATAAGCAATTTACATGATGATATTGGTTTATTTGAGTTCAAGCTCATTAATAATAATTGTTATTACTGTTACTGTTATTATATTATAAGCGTAACAATAAGAGCTTATTTAAAGAAAAGCTGTGCAAAAGAGCAAAGGGTTCTATTCTTAGTGTTTTATTAAAAGGTTGGTGAAATATAGTTTTTATTCGAAGGCAAATCCCCGTTACATAATACGGAAATACGACCCGTTTACGGCTACCTTCTTCGAGCGCTCGGCTCCTAGAAACTCATCGGAAAAAGCCTTCCAAACGGTTTCATAGTTCGCTGCGCATTCTTCCTTGTGTCATCCCCCCGGTGCGAGGCGGTAAAATTGTTTATTTTCCTTCCGACTTTCCTACATTACCGCATGCCGCCTGTCGCGCACTTTTCTCATAAAACACGCGCGCACGATTATTCTAGGTCGCTTACTCGAAATAAACTCCGCGAGAGTAACGCGCCGAGAATCCGTAGTGCATCCTCTTTTTTTCTCACATCTCGGCTTTAGAATTTGTGCGAATTTATTTCCGAGACAATCGAAGATAATTCAACTAGCACGGGTGCTAAGTCCCGTATAAAAGTTTCATAGAACTTTTCTGTCGATGTAGATCGCTGCTATAATTAACTTCCGTAATGAGGGTCGTACATGACGTCAAGAATTGTCGTCAACTAACGATTATTTCATAGAAACAATGTACGTATTACTAAAAAAAAATACATTTACCGCAATATGCAACGATATGCTCAAGCAAATAATCAGATGTTTCTAAAATTCTGAAAAAGATTTAGAGACATGTACGAAATTTATTATTTCTATCTTTCTAATAAGCTTTAAAAATTTGTTCTTATACTCTGTCTTTATGCAATGTTAAAAAAATATTATAAAACTTTAAATATTTAATGAGAAAAAATATATGTATATTTCGCAGAGCACATTTTTTGTTACACTATACGTATAAGCATCTTCTCGGCAATAACTTCATCTAAAAAAATTAAATCTTGAAGCGCATTTCTTTTTTCATCTCTTTTTTCTCTCTGGATACTTTGTTGCAGGAAAATTTATTTATTTACGTCGTTTTGTGTATAATTTTATATCCAAAGCAAACGTTCGAGTGCAGTGGATGCACTTCAAAGCGCGACGCTATTCCTGAAAAAGCGTACTTATATCTTGCTTTCCGCCGAGGAGTTTTATACTTCCGTGTAACTTATAAGTAGGAGGAAATGGGTCCTCATATCTCCCTGTAACACATATGACGTAAACGAGCGTTCATAAATATAGAACTGTCCCCGTGGGTAGTAAATAAATGGCTATTCCGCACGGAAAGTTAACTTCTCTATCGAGCAGTCGGATTTCGTTTAAGTTCGAACTTGGGTCTTCCGTGTTGAAAGGATACTTGTCAGCGTTTTGTCGAGAACGACGACGACATTTGGGACACGACTGCCATCAATAACAGCGAATGCTGATACTTCGTAACCAAAAGTCCTACCGCGTGCGAAATATCGCTTCTCCGGCGTTCAACTTGTCCGCTTAGATATTCGTTTCGTATAATTCGCGAATTATAAAATCAGTCTCGTTTAAATTTACTGAACAAGATTTTTAAGAAAGTAAATCTTTTCAAGAAAGTAAATCTTCAAAGAGACGGCACAGTCGGATTATTTACCTTTGCATGCATTAAAAAGTTATGAGAGGCCGATAACTTTCAACTCGCACATTACTGTACTTTTCGAGGGCGTGTGCGACTGGACGAGATCTGGTCGGCAGCAAATTAGAGCACGGTTTTCTCAAAGGCAAGTTTTTTTCATCGCAAAGAAAGCGTAAGGAAAATCTCGTTGTTGTTGAAATTGATAATCCCTTATAGCAAAGTTTTGCTTAAATCTTGTTGAAAAGCGCGAGTTTTTGCGGCGCGGCAAAGAGCGCCTGACAGGGTTCCCGACGTGTTTCCACGCGAGAATCCGAGAAAATTATGAGATGTGCTGTATCATACTGAATGATAGTAATTTATGAGCCATGCAAAGCTACCGCGTAAGCTCTCGTTGACGAGGGAAAATACAGTCATTACGTATACGCGTGCGAAACGCTGAATGAGCTCGGAAAAAGCTCATTGAGCACACGTTTGCACTAAAAAAGTTCAGGAATATCATTAGATTATTATTATTAAAAGCTTATTACTCATTATAATAAACTCTTAACAATATCAATGCGATTAAAGTTCCTTGTGTTATATTTTTTTCTATCTTCTTATTTTCTTCTTTTAAAATATGCGCAAAATGCAAATTTAAAAATAAGAAAAATTGCAAGATTTAAATTATCTTTAAATAAGCAAAAAGAGGTAAATTATTAATTATTTATTTGAATGCTTTACGGAAACAATGTAGACGCCTTTTCTCTCATCACAACTCATTTTATTTTTCCGCAAAAGTAAATCATAATTAATAATATATAAATTCATATAAATGTTAAAGTTCATATTTTGGCAAGAAATATGTCATGCAGTAATTATTGTTAAATATTTAGATGTATTTAACTTTAACATAACATTAATAAAATTTCACGGCAAATGAGATAATGTATCGCGCTAACGCACTTTCGGCTTCGCCGGGTGGAAAAACGAAATGAATTGCGACGAGTGCAACAGGGTCGAAAATAACATACTTGTTACAGCCAACAAGCCACTTGAAACTTTCTTTGCATGTGGTTTTCGCGATGTGAATTGCATAATGCCGCTTTATTCGTGCAGCAAGTAACATGTAACTACGTCTCTAATTGCGATGATTTAGATGAAGTAGTCTCGTCAGACTCCACCAATAACGTCGCCTTTGCGAAGAGAGTTTAAATATCGCGTTTCTATTCTTGTTGTTAACATACATTACAAAATTTTTTCTATAAGTTTTGTTATATAAATTTTTCTAGAAATTTGAATCGCGCAAGAATTAAATAAATCACACAAAATTATTCACAAAAGTCATTAAAAAATAACTTTGAAAATAACTTGAAAACAATGCGCATAATTTTGAAAGTGCACTTGCTGCGAAATCCAGAAGAAAAATAAAACGCAAGTCAAAACTAATCTGTATTTAAAATTGCTAATTGTACAAATTCTTTTAAGCTTTCATACCAATAATCTAAATTGAATTCGTTTTGAGGACCGGCGGGCAAAGAAAACCTAGAAAGCGAAGTTAATTGCGTCACGCAAAAGGCCATCTGAGAGCTCTCTAGAAAATATCGGCCCAAATGACCCTTCCAGCTATTTTCTATTGGATACGTCAAAGAAAACGTTAACTGTGATGTTTGCTGATAGTCTGCGATTGAGCTTCTAACGAATTATCTCTTCATAAAGATTTATAGATATTGGTGGAAATATTCAGTAAATATTCTGCGAATCGTAACATCTCGTGTAAGCATCGATAAACTGAAAGCTTAGGATGCTGACTGGCATCAAAAACGTCTTCAAGTTTTGCGTGGTGTATTATATAGCAATTAAGATTATTTTTCATTTGTTAAAACAGCAGAGACTAAATAAATGTATGTTGAATAAAGATTATTTCTATATGACATTTTTATTTTTTACTTGTTTTTTCTAATTCTTTTATAAAAGGATTCTGGAAATGCTAATTTATTTTATCTAATAAACTGCTGAAAATACGCCTAATCATTTTTATGGCATGCTTATAGCCAAGAGTGCTTCGTTCTTGGCAGTAAAACGATAACCGAGTCAATACCGTTATTTATTTTGAGATCCATTCAAATTAATCGAAATTCTCGGGTTTGTTTTACCTTTCTCGCCGTAACAAAACATGGCATCATAATTTAATTATTGTCATTTAATTAATACTGACGATATACAAGTAGGAAAATTTATGACATATTTATAGTTTAATGAATATTGTGAAAATAATGTTTCGACTAAAAGCTTTTACACAAAATAAAATTAATTAATGCAGAAAAAATACATTACCAGTAAGAAATGTAAATTTAATATTATAATTATAACTACTTTTTTAAAATTAAGATTACGAATAGATTGCGTATATAATTAAATTATATAACTTAACAAAATGACAATAAAACAGTTCGATATTTTCTTTTCGACTTTTTCTTGTTTTTTTAGTGCAAAAAGATACATGTTACTTTAACCAGAAAATGGCAAAAATTAAGATCAATAAATTATTAAAATTATTTTATAATTTATATATTATAACTTAGCATGTATAAACGTATAACTAATTAGCATGTGTAAATAATAAAGTTAATTTTATTTATATTTGTTTGTGCATGTATAAACATATAACTAATTAGCATGTATAAACAATAAAGTTGATTTTACTTACATTTGTTTCCATGATGACTTCTTATTATTGTCCGTTTTTTTCTCGTGATCGCGCTTCTTTCGACCCTCAAAGCAGTGTATTCTGAAACATATAGCGCATTATTAATTAATCATCGACCCGATACCGTGACAGAAGATAGACTGGCGCTTTTTCTTTATAATTGACTATCGTTGTTGCCGACATTGTTTGATATTCACGACATTGTGCACAGTAATGTTACTCATTTTGTGGTCATCATTTTTCAATTATTAGCTTTGAAACATGAAATGTTAATTATTGTGCGGTTTTATGTTTGTTGTAATAAGCATATACAACGAGAAGCACGACCGATTATCCTCTTGTCGTATGAGGGAAACGCTTTGACGTGGCTTCGGCCTCGCTTGTACCTAATAATCGCGAGAATCGACTGTTATTACCGAGCATAATATTTGATAAAATTGCGACCACGAAATTTGACAATATTTTGATAAATGAATTTTTACTCGTCAAATCACTCGCTCGGCTGGCGATAAACATTGACACATTGTAAAAGCAATTTCCATGTCAGTACTTTTAATAATAAAAGTTAATAGAAATATGAGTGTACAGGAACAATAATATTTTCGATGTGAGTTTTTATATAAAATACACACAAGTATTTATATAAAATATCAATAAAAATGATTAATGTTTAATCTTTATGCTAACAAAAAATAAATTAGTCGCAAAAACTCATTGTAAAAATAGAAAGAGGAAAACAAAATGATCAAATTATATCATGCCATTCGCTGTTCTACGAAAATACAAGTCATGCGAAAATTCATTACGAAATTGATCGCGTGGGTTGAGCCGATAAACGATTGAACGAGGGTTAATTTATGAAATCTCGATGTAGTAAATTAACGATGATACATAAAATGTCCTCACACACCCTTGTTTGTCATTTAATTAGTCGTGTATTAGTAGGTTAGACAACCAACACCTTTTCTTCTATCATGATACTGCGCCCTTTAGTCTATTATTCGGATACGATAATCATTACAGGCAATCGATCAAAGAGAACAGCCGTGTTAATATCTTGCGCTAACATATTAATTCAATAATAAGTATAATAGATATAAGCCATTAATCGTGCAAGATCGTAAAAATTGATAAATTAAGAGCGCAGAATTGCGTCAAAGAAAGGTCTTTATCAGAAATTGTTTCTATTTAAATTTAATTTATAAAAGAATTTATATTAAGTTGATAGAGGATTACATTTGAAGCCACAAAGTGAAGGGATGTAATGCAGAGCAATCTCTGGAATCTTGAAGTTAAATACAAATAGTTTACTGAATCAACGTTCAACCACCAGTTACATTTGGATTTACAAGCAATATGAATTTGGCATTGCTGGCATATTGTGTCTTTAGTCATCTGTATGCATGCGTGCATACCAACTTTACATATATTACCCCAAGGCTATCAGTAAAGTTATCAAATGGCTAATTAAAAGCAAAGTAAAATGAACAACGATCATGAACAATGGACTCGTCCATTGTAAAATTATTTCGTATCGCGAGCTGCGGAATTTAAATGGCAAAGATACGCTATATACGCGTCAGCTACACGTCACATTATCGATCATATGTATTCCCAAATGGTTATCTCTGTGACACATCGTTAACTATTATGTCAAATTTGACGGATCTAATCAAATTAATGAACAGGCGAAGAATATTGGTGCAAACAATAGATCACGCACTGTAATATAAAGCTCAAATCGTATTAAAACTTAACGACTGTCTTTTCATACGATAGATATAATATAACTAAAATCTGTTTTGTTTTATACAAAATTTTGGGCGAGATACATACATATATATATATATATAGTAGAAAATAAAGTTCAAAACAGAAAAAATATGTAAAAACGAAATATTCTGGATCCTCTTCAGTCTAACGATGATGTCGTCCGTCATCGGGTTTTCACGTAACCACTCAACGGACATCACCGTTAGACAGAAGGAAGTCCGAAACATTTCGTTTTTACATATTTTTCTGTTGTACTATCTTTTTTTTTTACAATAAATTGTTTTTCGCACACTAACATCCGCATTCTTTTGGTTCTTATTGTGTTTAAATAATTTTATCACTTACAGAAGCATTGCTGTTTTGTCAAAAATTGGACAAGAGCAATATTATTTATTGAAACTTAGGTGCGTTATTACGCATGTTTTTCACGACTTATCGGTCGATAGTTACGCGCCTTTCAACGCGACAACGCAGGATCGCGATTTAAATAGATCAGCGTACACTGCGATTTCGAGAGTCTCGAGAGATGTTCGAGTGCCGGAGGTACTTGAGAGATGTTGTTTCGTGAAGCTTCCGGCTTGATCATCGGCAATGAAAGTAGTCCACGTGTTGAATAAGATGGCGTACGCTTCGGTTAAATTAATATAGATGTAATTTGCGATGGTAAAATAATGATAAAGCCAATAGCGCGAACGCTCAAACAATTAAGGAGAAAGCCGCTCCCTTGAGACAATGCTTACAAAGTCAATTATACCGTTGTAAGAATTATTTATAATTTTTAATGAGTTTAAATTAAGATATCATGCTTTTTTCAAAATCAACAGTAGTTGGGCAAAAAATAAATTCTAAATGTTATTTAAAAATGTTTCTTTCTTTCAATATTTATGTACGTTCTTGTTTTTGTGCAATGGGTTTTTTATAATGAAAAGTACTCTCCATTATCTATTCGAAAGTATGTCACATTCTAAAAAAATGTTTAATTATTATCTGCATGTATATCTGCTTGTTAAAACTATTCAGTTTCACCTGCACTCAATTTTAATGACAGATTTTTTTGACAAATGCGGAATTATTTTTACGATAAATATTTTAGGTGTTATCAGATATTGAGACATCGTTCTTTGTAGATGTCCTGATTATATAAATTCATTAGAAAGTAAAGTTCCACAAATAAATGTAGAGAAGTGAACTAAATAAATAATAGTCAAACAAATGTAGAGAAATGGAGAAAATGATGTAGCATTTGCATTTAATTAAATATTGCAGCTTGAAACAGAAATTAGAATTTGGGGAATGTTCATGTGTACCTTCCGTCACTAAAAATTATTATATATCTAAATAAAAATAACATCAATTTCACAGTATGGTAATATTTCTCGCGTTACTTCGGACTGCAGTTAACGTCTCAGGCAAAACCAAGTTAAACTATAGTTTAAAGGTCAGGCACTGGGTTAAGAGTATTCTCGAGCGCGTTTCAATAGCATCGCGTATTCCTTGCGCCCTGTTTCGTACCGTTAAATAGTCGGTATTTCGACCGTTTTGCACTTCATTTAATTTACGCCAAAATGTCAGTTCCTCAAGTTCTCTAGTTAAGTTCTCTTACCTTGACGGTAAATACAAGCGCGATGATTTAACATTAAGCCTTTTAGGTCTTACATTAAAGATACAATTTCAATGTTTCTTGATAAATATTCATTGTTGATGTTTTTGCAATTGATGCTCGTGATTAAAAAAATATGAGATACAATATTGAAAGAATATATGACAGATATTGAGGATGATGAGAGAACGTGTTCGAAAATTATGCAGAATGAAAAAGAATATTATAAAGAAGCGTTTCTGAATAATGTTGTATATGTGATAGCAACACACACACACATTCGCATTAGTCGGAGGGTAGAGCTTATCAGAAGACGAGAACGTATTCCATTGTGACGAGCTTTTGCGGTTCGCTGATTCGGATGCGATATGTGGAGAATACTGAGTTGGCTGTAGCATGAGTAATAGAAAGAAATTTCATGACATTGATAGTTGAAATGCTGAAAATAATTCCGGTCAGAAATGCAAATTTTTGACAATAACGACAAGAGAAAAATTAACAGCTTTGATAATGTGAACAAAAGGTCTGCAATAATTTAAAAATAAATTCAAAGTTTCGTTACTTTTTTGCATGTGTAAAACTTGATCAGTTTATTGACGCGAAAGAATAAACACGTCCACAATTTTATTAAAGAAATGATGAATCTCATATTGTTCAAAGATTGATATTTTAGCTAATCGATGAATCTTGAATGTTTTGTACCTCAATGCGAGAAGTTTACACATAACAAAAGAAAAATTTCTGATTGTTATTATTGTAAATATCCTTTTTACATTTTTACATGAATGGAAAGTTATTAGTTTCTCGTTAACTTGGTAGGTTGGATGAATGTTCTATTTAAGACGAAGAATAGCGTCACTCATTTATATTGCATGCAGCGTGAGGTAGTTCCAAGCTTTCATATTCTTGCTAAGTATTGACGTTGCGTCTACGCAATAGCGATGCGAAACAAGATTCTGCAAGCCTAATGAGTTTTAAGTCAATCCCGCTTAGATATGAGAGGAGATATTTTACACATAGTTGACGTAACTTACTTATACTGTACAATGTTATACGTCAAAGTATAGGATAGACGAGTTATTAAAAGCACGAGAATACCTACAGAATTCTAAAATGTATAATATTATTTTTTGAGATCAGCAATTTAATCGCAGAATCATCCACAAATCCTCGTAAAACGCTGATCCTATTTTCCCTCAGCTTTTTACTCGTCTGCCACGTGACGTGACGTTCGTTAAGCAGGCTTTCATTTCAGTTAAGTTCCTCGAAATGCGTGACTCGAATAAAAAGTTCATACACGTACCAATTACCAGCGCGCCAATTAGTCGGTGAAAAAAAAAAGATACTAAAGAAAGCTACCGTTTACAATAACATGATAGCGGAAAGGTCACGCGATAAGTTAAAAACACTCAAGGGACCGTCATTTTAATTCTTGCCTCCACCCAGTGGCACATATATCCCGATGGCCTATTTCGGAGTATGTCACGCGGCGAAAGCCCAGAAGTGTGGCCCGTTCGCGGCTTCGCGAATCCACTCGTCACATAAATCCGCCGGATAAGTGGATATTTATTTGCGATTCTACGCTCTGCTCGCGTGTTGCTCGTTTTATTCCGATCGATCGATTAATATTGGCAGAAATCGCTGAAAATGGATTCACGATACGTGACTAAGCTTTACACTGTCCAACAAGTTGTTTCTCACTGTCCAC